CAAGAAATTTTTCTATTCTAACTAAAGTTTTGAGCTAATTATATAGACGTGCTAAATAAAAGACGTTAAATTTTTCTTCTGTTAGGGCACTATTGAATGTGTCCTGCTATAAGATATTTATTGATACAACATATCTTAGGATCCGATATACCGTCGTACATAATATTTACAGAAATGCCTACATGCATGGCACATTTCTGTCACGGCATCTCAAATGTGTCCTTGACACAGCACAAGCTGATTTTTTTCTTTATGTTATGACGTTTCAAAGTTGTAGGTTTCATGAAGCCTACTGATCGGAGGCGGACGATTTTTTCAATCTTAATTTTAAAAAAAGGCAAATTTTCTAAATCTGCTCGACGAATTTTACGTATTCCTGTTTCATGGTTCAAACAAAAAATTAGTTACCGTATGTTCTATCACCTTTGACAGAACTATACACACCTTACTACGCAACAATAGCAAAAGGAAAAAATCGGCACATTTTTTATAACTCGCACTGCATAATTTCAAAAGAAAAGTTTACTCTATAAATCTGCATATGAAAAAAGATTGCCCAAGACTGGTATTAGAATATTTTGAAGTTCCATCACGCGTAGTTATAGGTCGTCTGAAAAACCCTTTCATAAACCTTCAAAGGGCACTCGTAGCATAGGAAATGATATCGATTCTTAAAAGTACATACTTTAGGCCACACATTGACATACTTATCACAAAAACGAGTCATGCTAAAAAAATTGACTTTCTACGGGATGCACTGTAAAAAAAAGCGACTCATGTTATGTGACTTTGCGGAAAAACGTCGTAAATGTGTCTTATCTTAAGCCACAGTTTGTTTATGAAGATATTTCTAAGACGTTTGGACAGTTTGTAGTAAACAGAGTTATTCTGAGATTTGAGTCATCAACAAAAATCACTCCTCCTGGGCTCATCAGATATGACATAAGTTTGTCAATAAAACCTGATTCAAAGGAAGAATATGAATTGTACAGATTTTCATATACATCTTTTATCAAATGCTGATCTTTTGAAAAAAGCTTTATTCTAGCAGAAAATATTCAGATGTCAAAAGAAAACGTATACTTGCTAATAATTAGCTGAGTTGTAATGCACAATTTTCCATAACTTTTGTTGTTGTTATGAAAATGAACAGTCGAGACTGCTCTTTGGAATATACATAAATCATTAGTCTTTTAAGAGTATGACTTTAGTTGGGCCCATCGTATATTTAGTTTGAGATGCCATTATATAGGCCCAACCATCTGAAAAATAAGATGTTTGAAAAATATCTTAAATGAGACATTTGCATTATCATTTTTTTCCTTCAACTTTAACGTCTTAAAATAAATCCCTTTTTTTACAGTGCAAGGCGGTGTTACAATATTTTTGAGCCTTACTATTTTTTAGTGAAAGATAGCCTGTCTAATCACTCAAAAAATCAGCTAATAAAATCTTATCCCCGTGACTAAATAATGCCCAATGATGATGTTCGAAGGTAACATTCGAAAAAACAACATTTTTGATCTTTACTAATCAGCCCCAGTTTTTTTATGGGCAGATTAATTCATGCCATACTCTCATAGACATATTACATTCATTCGTATTCGCTACTTCAGTGTGATTTTGCCTTTATTCCTTTGGATTATGGACTGAGAAAAAAACGGAATAATTTTTCTTGAAAATGGTCTTGTTATCAAGTACAGTGTATTAATACTCTACAATTTCACATCAATCATTAGATTATAGTAGAAAAATCAAATAAGTTGAAGTTTCACGATTTAAAATGGCAGTGGCCAAAAGAAATAATGGTTTCTACATAAAAGCATTATTATTAATAACGGATGAGAATGATCCAACTTATTGAATCAACCAGAATGAATAGGACAATTTATCTCGAACTGCAAAAACAAAGGACATTGAACAAAACCAAAATGATATCATTGAATCAATGGAAAATTACAAGAAACAAGTAGAAGAATCGAATCAAATTAATATTGAGCAAGAAGACGGTTTATTCAATATAATTATTAGATGTCCTTGGACGAAACAAAGGAAATTAGTTAACGAAAGTCATCAAACACAAACAACAGCATGAAAAATATAATCAATGGAAAAAGAAAAGCAAGGAAAATTGCAATCAGATCTACACGCATATTCTCTTTCATTCGAAGTACTCTTTACTACAATACAATGATTGTACATAAAATAAAATCAATTTATAGTTTTTTTATAACAAAACTGAATTTCAATTTAAAAAACAACCTTACCGTTTCCACTGTTCGTATTTGACGGTATATAGTGATGGTGAGATGGTGATAATAAAGATGCCTTGATACAAGTGTTTTCTGTCAGTTTCAAACCAATACCGTAACAATTACTTATAATCATCATTTATCACTATGATTATTCGATTGATAGATTAATGCTCAACGCCACTATGTTTCGGTTATACTCGACTATTGAAACATACTTTCAATACTGTCCATTTTCGATCTCTCTATAATAAAATCTTTGAGCATAGAGATTAATGTTGAGAAGATAAACGAAGTGTTACGATAATATCTCTCTTTTCTGTACACAAACAACAAAATTGTTATAATATTTATATTGATTATACTTTATTATATTTTCTCAATAAAATGTGATAGGCATAAGTAGTTATTACTCTTCAAGAAAAAAATATATATATATTTACCTAATACACCAACTTAACGATCATAAACGTTGTGTTGTAGAAAAAAATGTTTTCAATATAAATTTATTTGATGGGTATAATCTCTATAGTGTACAATCATAACATGTTATCGATACGGCAAAAAAAAAATTATGTGAAGTAAATACTGAAATTTTAGCGTTTTTAACTTCACTTTACAGTGCGTATCAGTTACTGTACAAACAACACGTTTATACATGAACAAGGCTGTTTTCAATTAGAATGAATATCTGAAGAGTGAAAGAGAGAAAACAGAATGAATGATTGAATCTATAGGTATGTATGTATTGATTTACATTTACTGTATATCAACATGTACATACATCCTTCCTCACGGTTTAACTCATTTCAACAGAAGAAGACCTATAAAATGAAAATTTTTATGATACTATTGTTCCAATACATATATGTATAAGCTTAATAAATGCCAGACTAACTATAATAAGCAGATATAAAAGAGTATCTTTTAAAGAATAAATAACGACGTCTTACTGTGAGAGTTTAGCTTGATTAGTTTTCTACAGAACTTTATCAGATCACTCTTTATATATATATATATATAAATCTATGGTCGTCATTGTTCAACAGCTGACGCAACAAGCGCAATGTTCTTTATGAATGATCGTTACTAGTGTCTGTTGAAAAGAAGAGAGAGAGAAAGATAAGATAATTACGCCATTTTTTGCAGAGCCATACGAATGTATGGACAATTCTGTAGAGGTTTCAGCCGCATTAGAGTAAACGTCAAATATCACGTGACTATTAATTATCTCGTAGAAGTGGATCTAGAAATATGCTCATTTTTTGGGACTTATTAGACTATAAGGATATTAGAAAAAACATAACTTCAGATCGTCTATCACCAAATATTACAAGAAGTATCTTTTCCTTAAATATCTATCGTCATAGATTAGTGAGGAAGGACTACTGAATCACGAAAAAGAGTACATATAGGATAATTTTTCTGATGAAAAAGGTACTAAACTTTCCAAGTTTTGCTCGATTTGAGTGTAAGGTACCAGTTAATCATTGTCTATCTGTAACACTGTCGTAATCGCTTCTATACAAATGCTCTGTATAAAGTGTAAATATCACTAATTATCTTAAAGTTTTGTGAATGTTTTAGCTTTTTTCGATGGCCGCTACCCTCAGTCGACTTCTTAATCTTCACACCGTATATTTGTTCCCCAGATGAAGCTTTGAGAGAAAAGATGAGAAGTACTGTTGTTTAAAATACTACGAGTCTGCTTCTATATACATTACTTACTATACTACGACAACTAGTCCTTTGACCGAAAAGTTCGAGTTGCACTTTATTTCGTACCTTGATTGTATTATCTGCAGCATGTGTCTGTTTCATTTTCCATTTTCCTTAGTATCATAAGTTTTCAAACAATATGAGCAATTATCAGTAATTTCTTAAAGGATATTGCTCTCTGATATATAGCGTGCGTTCAACTATTTTTTTGTTTTGTACTTTTACTTTTTGAAATATATACTAATACGTTTTAACGACACACTTTTTTCCTAGGTGTGTATAATAATCAAGACATGACCGATGTCTATACGGCGACAACACGTTCAAGCATAAAATCTATTATTTCACTTTTCTTACAATTTTTCTTTCTTTTGATGATGAATGAACTAACTGTTAAGCTAAATTGTTTGTACGAAGAAAAAAATGCGACCTTTTTACCGCGTAAAACTAGAGAAAGAAAACAAGTATATATATATATATATAAACAAAAAATACGATTCCAATCGACTGATTTTGACTATGCTAGATAAACTCAGCTCGACGATTGATCTAACAAATGCTTTTTATGATTAAAGTTACAATCGAAGGCATCGATCGATACAATAAGACATATCACTTTATTTCAAATCTCGATTATATGAAGCGACCATGTAATGCCTTTTCATTAATAAAATAGTAGAATAATAGAATTGAATAGAGAAACAATTTATTGTACTATTCCTTCCAGCAGTTTTTTCAAAATAAAAGGCTCATCTGCCGCATCTGTATGTGTATTGTGTTTAACACGTAATCATTATTGCATTGTTATATATTCTGTCGCTGTGCAACGTCAAAAAAGCGACACAAAGCTATCGGCGACAATCACCGTTGCAGTGTTGTCATGCTTGCTACTACGGTAACCATCTGCAGTATGGCAGATGTATTGACAAAACGAAAACCGAGAAAACATGTGTGATACATTAAGTCTGTGGGTTGTTTTTAGAACTCTACAAGATTAGAATTTAGTATTCTCTTTTTTTCATTTTTCAGATGACTACATTAGTGCCAATTACATTAAATATTAAAACTGTATTTGGTGTTCGTTCGTCAGTAGAAAATGGTCTGTATTTTCAGGATGATCACGTTATTGTGTATCCAGCGGGAAATCAGTTGATCATTTCAAACGTCGAAACAAAAGGTCAAAAAAATTTTTGTTGTCCAGAACTTGAAAATTTATTATATTTTATTGTTCACGGTGGAGCTGCAATTACTGCGATAGTTGCCCAAGGAGATAAAGAGAACATTATAGTTGCATTTTATGATCTCCATATTGGTCGACGTAAACGTCTGTTCGAAATTAGAAATAGCATTACTTCCATTGTATCTATTGCATTTTCACATGATGCTAAATATTTTGCTACACTTGAATGTTTGAATCGAGAATACACGTTATCATTGTGGTTATGGCAAAAGTCAAAATTAATAGCCAGCATCAAATTGGGTGCCGCTGAAGGAATTACTTTATTAGCGCAGGTAGGGAACGAAGAAATGTTTTTATTCGTTTTAAAACAAAATATTTTTTATTTTAGATATTATTTCATCCATCAGATAACGATGTTATATCAATAATCGGACGAAAATATTGTCGATTAATAAGACAAATTGATGGTAGTCTAAGAATTCAACCGTCATCATCTAAATTGGAAAATTATGATTTTATATGTCACGGTGAGAGATGTTCTATTATATGACTGTTTTTCATTTTCCATTGTAACTTTTAGCTTGGTATGATTCAAATCGTATATTAGCTGGTACCAGAAATGGACATGTATGTGTATTATTCAATGGCGATGTTCAAACAGATATTGACGTCGTTGAAGGTCGAGAACGTCCTGTGCCAACGTAGGTAGAAAAGAAAACTTTTTGTTTGATGGAGAAAATCAATCAGTCTGAGAGGCCATCATAGTAGAAAACAAAATTTAGTAAATTTGAATAAAACAAGAAATGTTTCATTATTCTAGTCAACGTCTATCAATAACAACGCCATCATCACTGAAAAGTAATCGTTCACAACAACAGCAAGAAAAGATAGATATTCGTACAACATTTGAAGAAGTGACATCTCTTTCGATTATAACGAAAGGCTTCTTTTGTATTGTTGGTGGGAAACGTTTGTATCTTTATTCAAAAATTTCCGATAGTTGGGATTTTGCTAAAAATCGAGAATATTGTATTCACGAAGAAGTAGCAATAAAATCAACATCATCTACTCTATTATCGTTTACTGAAAAACAGCATCAGCCGACAATACAAAAAATGAAAAAGATTGCAATTAGTTCAAATGAAGAACATATTCTTGTTGTGACAGATAAACAACAACTATATGCTGTTACGGACATATTGATCGATCAAATTGACTCAAAAGTAAGATAGTTTCAACAACAAATCATCCTCTATCCATGTCTACTATTCTCTAGGAACCAACTGTCTTACAACTTCCATTCGTATCCTATCATCAATCAGTAATTCGAGGTTTAGATGTAGCAGTTCAAAAACCATTTTTAGTGTCCTGTGGTGATGACCACAGTCTACGGTTATGGAACTATGAAACAAAGTAATGTTTCTAGAAGATATTTTTCTCATAAAGCGTATATATTTTGTTTGTGTATCTAGTTCAATTGAACAAATGAGAACTTACAATGAACCTATATACAGTGTTGCACTTCATCCAAGTGGACATCAAATGGTTGTCGGTTTTGCATCAAAAGTAGCGCTGATGAATATTTTAATTGACAGTTTTTCCATAGTCAAAGATTTTTCTATTCATGCATCACACGAGGTACACGACAATAATTAAGTTTTAACAGTTAAACAGTTATTTTAGTTTTTTAGATTGTTTATAGTACTGGTGGACACTTAGTAGCAGTATCGGATAGTAATACAATTCAAGTAATATCATCAATGCTTTTGAAAGCTGTTCACCGTTTGAATCATGGACAGACGGTATATCTCTTATAATCTAACTATTTAATAGTTATCTCAAATACATATCTGTTATTTTTATAGATAAAACAAATGGTTTGGAGAAAAGATGATTCAGTTTTGTATTCATTGTCATCGAATTGTTTTGTCATCTGGAATATTGAAACACAAACAAAAACATCTGAATTTAAACCAACTTATAGACTCGAGTGTTTTGCAGTTGATCGTGAAGATAAATGTGTTTATTTAGCGTCGGATGACTGCAATATTCGAGAATTGAGAAATGGACAAGTAAAAGACAAAGAGAAGCTTAATTACATATCATCATTATAATATTCTTGTTAAGTTGTTAAGTGAAATAACTCTACCAAACCAAGATCAACCAACAGCATTAATATCAATGCCAAGTAACATTTCATTAATAGCTGGTACTATAAAAGGATCAATATATGTAATCAAAGTACCATTAACTCAAACTGGAATTGTTTATTATCTGGCACATTCAGCAAGAATAACTAGGGTATTACTTTGACATATTTCATTTATCAGTTGTTTCTTCAATTGAAAGTCATTTCAGATCGTTATTGCGTTTCACGAAGCTTTAATCGCAACGTCATGCGAAGATGGAATGTTATTTTTATGGGAAGCATCAACAAGAGAAGGAAAAATACAGTCTACTAAAAATGAAGATTGGACAGCAGTTGTTTTAGAGCGAAAAGCAAGTTTTCTTGAATTGGTACGTCTGAAATAATGTTGAAGAATATTTTTTACTTCTGAACAATAATGACGTCTCTTTCATATGAATTCTTCTGACTTGGTAATCGCGCTTCGGGTCATAAATGTTGAGATAACGATGTTATTGTCAATGTCTACATATTTAGACTCATGAGATTACATCATTACAAGAGCAGGAAGAAGCATTGAAACGTAATCAAGAATTTCAGATGAGACAACTGGAAATTAATTACACAGCTAATTTACAACGTTTGACAGAAAAATTTCAAGATGAACAACGTCATCATGAAAAGCAGATGGAGTTTCAGTCAGTTGAGCGCACTAAAGCAAACCGAGAAAATCAACGAATGATTGAAGATTTAACACAAAAACACGAATACGAAAAACAACAACTAGGTAAGTGGTTAATCAAAGCTAAAACAGCAGTAAAAATAAAACAGTAATCGTCATAAGTGTTGCATCTCAAATAATGAGAAACAATCTATTTTAGGCTATTTTCGTTGAAAACTAAAAAGTTCATAACTTAGTTGAAAGCGATTCAGACTACTTCAAAATTCCAACGTATGCCCCATTTAGGCTACTGCATATTTTTAAAAATAAACACAAAGTTTCATTTGGTTTAGTTTTAAAAATAGCCCAGAATAGATTATTTCACCCACTACAGGTTTTGACTAGGTTCTTGAATTTTCTTCGAAAACAAACATTGCCATGAGTCGAAAAATTCTGTTTGGAGCTCGTTGGATTAAGTTTTGTGTGCTGAAATACCGCCCTGTTTTTACTTTTTCATAAATAAATACAAGTGGTTTCTAGATTACGTAAGATAAACACTTAATTCGTGCATCAAAGTGCAGCAATGCCTGACAGCTATCTGTAGTAAGGTATAGATTTCAAACTGAGTAGTTCAAACTAAAACCTGACACGATGCTCAAAAGCTACACAAAATACTGCATCAGCAACCTCAAGGCATCGAATAGGACACATTTGCTCATTGAACGGTTGAATGGATAGCAGACTTGCACAAATTGACTGGTTTAGCATTTTTTGCTACCATTTTTTATTTGTACTCTTCTAGTGTTTGTGACAATGAGACTAAAGATTCTGAATCCCTTCTACTACACGTTCTTATGTGATAAAAACTTCCTGATTTATGTTGAATGTTATCAACAGCATTTCTTCCGCGAAAAAGAGTATTCGTAGATAGAGGAGAGACAGTTTTCTATTGTTTTGCAACTAGAAAAGGTGAATATTGATTCAGTTACATGAATTCTAGTGAAAAGCAATCATAGGGGGACTGAGCATCAAGAGTTACATTGGAAGTTTGCCGTGTGAGAGATGTTTCGTTATCATTAGTAAAAAACCTAGAAGAACATTTTGATACTCGAATAAAATGTTTATCTTACGTAGCTTGAACATCATTCATATTGCTCAAGCCATAGTCAAATCAAAAGATATCGCGGTTCTCGAGAATGTGTGATACTAATGATAACTACTGCATAAGTTTGTTTTCCTAGAGGATGATGATAAACAAAAACTCGCACGTGAATTGCATAAACAAGAAGAATTGATACGTTTATCACAAAAAATATTAGAAGATAATGAATTTCGTTTAAAAACTACCATGGAAAGTGCCGAAAATGAGCTGGCTGATATTGTTGAATTTTATACAGAAAAAATTCGTAATTCCGAAGAAGAATTAAGAATGGTTAGAAATGAATCAGTTATACACATTTTTATTCGAAACTCACCGAATGTTCTTTTTTTGTTTCTAGTTACGTACTGCTGGGAACGAAAAACTTGATAATGATGAACTTGAAAAGAAAAATATTGAAATAGACGTTGATTCGGAACAAATTAAATTGAAATTAGAGTTTGAAATGGAGAAAAAGCGTTTGGTATGTATATTCGTTATCTAAAAACAACAACAAAATGAGTTATTTTCACAGCAAAGTCATTATTTCGTATTATATAGATGGAAAATAATTTGAAATTACAAAAAGAATTCAAAGAAGATCTTGAACGTCAAGTAAATACATTCTTTTTCTTTTTACATATTTATATTAGAAAATATCTTTATTATACACATAGGCTAATGCATTGATGGCAAAACAAGCTGAACAAGATGTCAATGTTCAAGCTCATAGAAAACGTATACAAGAAAATATTAATCGAGTTCAAGGTATGAATCATGAAATGTCAAGTTTAAGAAATGAAATTAATGAACGAAATCAAACAATTAAAGAAAAGGTTTGTGCAAAACTATATCTTAAATTGGTGATAATAATAATGATAATCTTAACTTCTTATGTATTATCGTAGATGACACGAATGTATGATTTAGACCTTAAAAATCAAGAATTGGAAAAATTTCAATATGTTTTACAATATAAAATTGCTGAGTTAACACGACTAATAAATCCGAGAGAAAAAGAAATAGAACGAATGAGAAATCAGTTATTAGAGGTTAATGTGTACATTTTTTTAAAATAGAATGTTGAATATTAGATGATGATAATGATAAATTAATCAATGACGACAAAATCGTTTACATTCAATAATAATGTGAATGTATTTTGACGAAAACATGGTGGTTTTCTTTAATCGCTTTTTTTAGTTAATTCGCAGTCAAGTATCAAAAACAGCTTAATAATATTATTCTGAGGAAAATGAAACATTTGTTTGATCATAAAACGTGATATCTTAACTATTATCCATCCCAAAATATAATGCAGTCGGTTGTTTTTAGAATAACTCAAAAACAATAAAAGATAGAGATATGCGATTTTCAGCATATCTCGAACGACGACAGTTTAAGCTATACTTTTCCAAGTAAAATCATCTTTCGAAAACATTCCGATGATCGGTTTTCTACAAGATCTTTGGAAAATCAGCTCGAGTTTCTAGAAACCAACATAGTAATCGATCGATCTTTTCCTGTAGATAGATATTTCGAAGTGTCCTCTGCAAAATAAGATCTAGGCAAATGTTTGGTTTTGCTTAGTTCGGGCGCCACGAACATTTTCCTTGAAGCATCCGGACTTCTCCGTCGTTAGGGTTCGATCACCAGAAATGCATGAAAACACAGGTTGTTGACTATGCTGAATCTCGCGGCAACATTTGTTTGTCAGAAAATTTCAAAAACGTAGTGAAAACATATATTAGGTGAAATATTCCATTTTTGTCTATTTTTGAGTAAAATCAAAAAATGTGTTACCCAGTCAAGATCCATCCAAATTTTGTCAGAATATGAAAATTTACTCTATTATACCTGCTCAATACTATGCAGCTCAACAAAAGCTTTTAAAATCAACAGAAAATACTTCGGTTTTTGAAAAGGTTTTC